TGGGGCTCGCTGAATTCCCCGCCTCAGACGCTGCCCCGGCATCAAACGCGGCTGGTGCCGAGCCAGGCCGGGCAGGATTGAACAGCTCTGCTTGGCGCCTGCAGCACTCCAGAGCAGCCTGCCCGAAATCCTGTGGCTGCCTAAATTAACCAGCCCAAAAAAAAAAAAAAACTAAATCACAAAAACAACAACGAATCCAAAGTCTTTCTTGAACTACGGAATAATACAGCTGACCTGTTCATTCTTGTTGTGTATGGATATAGGCAGTAAAGCCCTCACAGGAAAATGCAGGGGAGGTAATAAAGAAGCAGGATTCTTTCTTGTGTCTGCATAAAAGGGATGTTTAGTGCAGGAGCTCGTTTACTCGAGCTGTAACGGGAACTGCAGTCGGTGTGTTCATGGTTTTCTACAGCACAAAAGATGGGGGTTTGTTACTAGAGAGAGTTTCTCACACCAGAGCACTCTGAACCACGATGAATTTAGGTCTTTGCAGGAATGTGCTTTCCTGTGCCACTTCTCCCTCCCACATCAACAGCAGCATTGTCCCAGGTTCTGTATTCTTGGAGTGCACATTGATACAAAAAGCACCATTACATTAACACCATTTTTATCCATGGATTTTTAATGTTTTTTTAAGCCGCTGGAACACGTGGCTTGTTTTGTTATCTCCAAGGCGGTGGAAAGGCAGCCAGCCCCTTCCTGTGCTCATTTGCATGGGCCTCTTTGCCTGGAAGAAATACCTGTTCTCTGGGACAGGGCTTTGAAATACGATACTGCCTGGAATCTTCGGGGGAACTTCTGACTTCAAAAGAGACACCACTGCAGCCGGGAGAGGAGGCTTGCTGGAGCTGATCCTTAAAAATAATGAGATGTGTTAAGGAGTTAGTGATGTTTCATTAAAAGTTAAGGATAAATGTAATCAGTTCCATATCCCAGCATTTTTCTACCCTGCAGCCCTACAGAAAGGTCATTTGGTGGAATTATGGCAGCAAAGGCAAAACGATTTCTGTTTTCCTCTGCTTTACTATTGCTGAAGTAGGTGACACATGATGGCTGAACCATTAGTCTTCCTACTTGAAATATCTTGAATTTTTACTCATTCTGTAACAATGAAATAAAAGTTTCCGATTTTAAAAATTATACCTTTGATGTGTATAAAGGGTTCTTTGTCTAAAACAGCCCAGAGTGAAGTGAAATGCAGAGTTCCTGTTCCTCTAGCTGTGGAGGGGTGTGGAGAGCAGCAGTGTCCTGGAGTTCACTTTCCACTTCTTTTCAAACCCAGACAGAGCTGTTTGCTCCTCCTGTGATGGAGGGTGCCCAATTGCATCTCTGGGTTCTCTTGTGTTCACAGGCTGAACACTCAGCATGCAGAGCTGCACCAGTGGCTTCAGGGCAGAGCTCCCTGCATTTGTTATCCACATCAGGCAATGAGAATTTATCTCATTAACTCACTGGTGAGCAGCCCACAGAAACCCAGAATCATTTAGGTGGGAAAAGACCTCTGAGACCATCAAGCCAAACCTTTGATCCACACTTTGTGAACAAGCCCAGAGCACTGAGTGCCATATCCAGTCACTCCTTGCACACCTTCCAGTGCCTGACCACGCTTCCCATGGAGAAATTCCTCCTGATGTCCAACCTGGACCTCCTCTGGTGCAGCTTGAGGCCATGTCCCGTGTTTGTGTCACTTGCTGCCTGGGAGAAGGGACCAAAACCACCTGGCTACAACCTCCAACTTACTCCTCAGGGCATTAGAAGCAGGAGAAGTGTCAGGATGAGGAGCTAGCCTTGGTGAGAGGTTTGCTCTCACTGCTGCTGTGCCAAGCACAGCTGCGCCCTGAACTGGCACCACCAGCCCGTGTGGGGCTCACCCACCCGGCCTCCCACGTCCTCCCTGCTCCAGCCAGAGCAGCTGGCACCTGGGTGCCCCGTGCTTGCCCAGACACAGCTCTGCCTGTCACACCCAGCCCCTTCTGAATCACACCACCGGCTTGTGCTCGCAGGCACAGCTCGCTGCAGGTCCTGCGCTTTAAATATTTCAAAAATAAATATCCATGAGGAATTCTGCATAAATGAGTAGTGCCAGTTGGTTCACGAGGGAGACCTTTCTTCCCTAGGCAAGTCTAGGAAGTGTTTTAAAATAAACACATCCACCAGTTACCAGAAAACTCTGCTATAAACTGACAACTGTTTCTAAGAGGTTGTTGCCAGTTCTTGCATCTGTCCCCAGGATAACACAGGCTGCTTTGCTTTCATTCTCAAGACTACTTGGCTTTAAGTTGGAAGCAAACAAGCATGAACTCAGCGTGGCCACAGCCTGCAATCCTCAGGCTTCACCTTTCTGCTGGCCAGGGGCTTGGAGAACTTAATAAATGTATGACTCTTCCACAGCATGTCTGTCTTAAGGAATCTGATTTAGAGGCTTATTCTCCAAAGGTTTGATGATTCATCACTCGTGATAGACAAGGAGAAATATGGAATATGGCCCATGTGTACTGCTGTAACTCCACTGACACTGGGCATCTATCACCAACTACTATTGGTATTCCACTTCCAAAGTATTTATATCCCATTATTGAATTCCTCACAATCTTTAAGTGTATTTCTCCTCCCACCGACCTGATGAGGTCAGGAAGAACTGTCACAGTCAGGAAAGGGAGCACAGAGGGTGTTCTGGCCTGGCCTGGCAAGGAAGAGTGACAAACTGAGCAGTTCCCTTCTCAAGCCATTGCCAGAACCCTGACCCAGTGCACTGCACTTCTTTCCATCTGCAACCTGTTTGTTTGCTAATAAAAACTGATACCAAATATCCTTCCTTGGAGACATCTCAGCTGGCAAAATGCAGCATTCAATGTGCTGGTCTGCAGGTTGGAGCTGAATTCATTTGGTATCTTTGTATTTTCTTATAAAGTGCTGCTCTTATCTGCACCACAACCTCCAACAACTGCTTTATGAATTCATCTGCAGTTGAGTTTATCCTTCAGAGCATCACATTTTATCTCAGGTCTTCATTTATATTCATCAGTGGGGACGGAAGTGAAATTTAGCTTTAATTCAAAGGCTAATTTAGGTTTCAGTATATGATTAACATTCCACAATTACTACCATCAAAGTCAAGCATATGCATAAGTCTCTGCAGGACTGGGGCCAAAACATTTTCAAGTATCCACTTATTCAATATATTTTATATAAAGAATTATTCTTATCTATTATTTATGCAGGGGCCTTAACTAGGTAAATCTTGACACAGCTAGGCCTCTCTCTCCATATAATTACTCCTCATCTTACTTTTCATCTGGTTTCTGCTCTACCCTGTTATCTAATTCCTTGGGTATGAGCACAGTTCACTAACTGTAAAACAATTTACTCTCAGGAGCAGCAGGAATATTCAGCAATCTCCAAACCTAAGTTTTTAGGATAATGTGCAACAAGTCCCAACAGGTAAGATCATCAGCTGTATAATCTGGTGAAATTAACCATTAAAGAGTAATCAAGACTAAATAATAAAAAGCTCTGCTAAATTATAAATTATTGCAACACATCCAGGAAAAATACCATCATCCAACTACAGCAAACAAAGTCCAGCTAGTCCACTCAGCCAAAGTGGAATCACCAAAACTTTAATACTATATTTCTGGCGTGCAATATATACATAATTAAACAATTAAAAAACATGTACACGTGCAGTATGCATAATGTAAAGGCAGCCTTGCTGTGGATTGTGTCTATCAGGATGTTCACAGCACCAGTCATAACATTCGCCAGCAAGAAAAACAGTAATTGATTTTTGTTAATAGCACTAATCAGGCA